GGCGCTGCGGGCAAGGCCTCGGCTGCCGGCCTTGCCGGGGGCTGTGGTGCCCGCCATCCTTGCCGGCGCTCTGGGGCGAGGGCTGGGACATCAGCGCAGCTGCGACACGCTTCTAGGGAAACTCCCCACACGGGAAGGTTTGGCTAGCTAACGCTCTTTTAAACGTTACCATTTTAGAAATGGTTCCTACTCGAGCTTTGTGGTATAACTTATTCTGTCATTATATACCAAAGAGGTTCAGTTTTCTTGAGTTTTACATTATTCTTCCTAGCTGGAATGGGAATGGTTTGCTTGTCGGTTCACGCTTCGGGCTTGCGGTGTTGCTCGGGGAAGGTGCTGTGGTGTGGCTCAGGAAAGGGGGCACTGATGGAAATTGCTTTGTGTTTTTTTTTTTTTATAAAAAACCCAAGAAAAATCATTGCCGACTTCTGTCTGGTGGTTATTTGGAGACCTCTTGAGGTGCCGGTGACATCACTGGAAGGGGAATCTTTACTCTTACAATTCCCAGTGGGTTTTCAGAACGCTCCAGCGTTGCGCTGCAGCGCGACCGCGACTCACAGTGACTCGAGGGGCTGCAGGGACGGGGCGAATTCTTTGTCCCCTCGCTTGATGGATGCAGAGTCCCCCCTCCACTGGGTTTCCTTCGCGTTGCAGGGTGCGTTCTGCTCGTGTCCTTCACCGAGAGTGGCTTGAACTTGGGAGAAAAGAGCAAACGGGAAAATCCACCCGCCGGGCCGAGCTGGTTTCTCTGTGCAGCCGCTCGTGGGCCCAGCCTGGGCCTTTCCGCGCCAACGTGCCTCGGGCGAGTTGATTTTTAACTCGGGTTTTTGTAGGCGTTAACATTTCTGCTGAGAACTCGCACAAACGTACTTTGAAACGAACGAACAAAGCGACTGTTGCTGGGTTTGACGTGAGCTGACGACAGAAACGAAACTTTATTCTCAAGTTGTTCCTCGCAGTAAACGCCCCTTGATGCCGATTTGTGAGAGCGCTCGCTCCAAGCCCGGTCGGGACGCGCTGGCACCGACGGAAGGGATGAACTGCCCCTCGAGCAAAACCTTCAGAGCCCTCCTGGTGCTTTTGAGACCAACGGTCTCTTTTAATGTTCCCAAATCCTGCGACTGGCAGCTCGCTGAGGAGCCCGGAGCTCACCAGGCCTGGGGAAAGCGGCTGAATCCTTCGTGCAAAGCGGGGGCAGCGCCGAGCCCTGCCCGCCTGCGCCGCAGCCCTCGGTAAGTTTTTAAATCCAACCTGCAGGGAGCAGCGCGGCTCTTGCCAGCACCCGCCTGCCTTTTCACTCTGCTGCCTGTTGGCAGTTTGCAGGAGGCTCCAAGACCCTGTGGTGAGCTCCTGGCTCGACCCTACATTAGGTTTTTATAATTTTTTTTTGTTTTTCCCCGCATTTACAAACTGTGGTTTTGAGGTGCCCTGAGCTGGCAGAGAACCAAGCAGACACGCACACTTGTGCCCTTTTTATTTCACTTCTAACACACCAGAGGGAGAGTACAATTATTTTTCCAGAGGAACGGGGTCACCCCAAGGCAGGGTTTTGATGCGCTGCAGACGCCGAGCGGCTCTACGGTGCCAGCTCCTGCTGGGCCGCGCTCTCGGCCCCGCTTGGCTGGCCCCTGCGGCACTCTTTGCTTTTTGGTGGGGGGTCTCTGGGGGTGCAGCCCTCCCCGGGGCTGGCCGGAGGCCCCTCCCTGCTGCCTGGCGAGGTGTCCCTGGGAAGGGGAAGGCGCCTTGGCAGGGTCAGTGGCCGGGGAAGGGCATGGGGGGAATTTGGCAACCGGGCACTCACCGTCACCTACCTTGGTGCCGCTTCGCTGTCGTCGCAGACCTTGAGCAGCATCTGTGCCTGTTCCTCCTTGGGCTCCCGGGGCTCCTGCAGCCTGCGGCGGGATGGGCCTGAGCCATGGCTGCGCGTGTCCCCCCTCCCTGGCTCCAAACCCACCCCCCCACTCGTCCCTCACCTGGGTTGCAGCCGCTCCTTCACCTTGGCGATGGAGCGGACGTAGGGCGCGATCTGCTTGGTGATGGTGGTCAGGCAGCTGTTCTCCTGCCGCAGCTGCAGCAGGTCGTGGAGCTGGGCTGGGGGTGAGAGGAGCGGGCTGTGGCCACAGCTGCCCCCCGCGAGCGGGCACGGGGGGTTCGGGGGTCCCCGGTACCTTCGTAGATCTCCTGCTCGTTTGCCACCCGCTGGTACGTCTCCTCCCAGACCTGGAAGGGCGAGAGGCAGCCGGGCAGCACGCTGCGGCCCGGCACGGAGGGACCCCGCTCCGCCGGGCCCCACCTCCTCGAAGACGCTGCGCATCATCTCCACAGCGGAGTAGTGAGCGGCGATCTGCACGTCCATCTGCAGGGACTTCTGCAGGATCTCGCTCATGATCTCCGTCTTGATGAGCGAGTGGTGCTTGGTGAGGTCGCGGTGCAGCTCCTGCACCTGGTCCTTCAGGCCCTGGATCTCCAGCTGCAGCGCCTGCGGGGCCGGCGACACCATCCCGTGAGCGGCACCGTCCCGTGAGCGGCCCCCGGCCCAGCCCGGCCCACCGCCCCGCGCTCCCTACCCGGTAGGTGCTCTCGTAGTTGCGGCAGTGCTCGGCGAAGGGGGTCTCGCGCCCCTCGGCCAGCAGCACCTTGGTGCTGATGTACCGGTGCATCGTCGGCTTCCGC